TTGCTCATAATATGTTCTTATAAGTTGGTTGTGATCTCTCCTCTTTCATTCATGATTTTATTTATTTGGGTCCTTTCTCTTTTCTTTTTGATAAGTCTGGCCAGGGGGTTATAAATTTTCTTAATTCTTTCAAAGAACTAGCTCCTAGTTTCGTTGATTTGTTCTGTTGTTTTTTGGTTTCTATTTCATTGATTTCGGCTCTGATCTTGATTATTTCTCTTCTCCTGCTGGGTTTAGGCTTTCTTTATTGTTCTTTCTCCAGCTCCTTTAGGTGTAGGATTAGGTTGTGTCTTTGAGACCTTTCTTGTTTCTTGAGAAAGGCTTGTATTTCTATTTTCCTCTCAAAACTGCCTTTGCTGTGTCCCATGGATTTTGAGCAGTTGTGCTTTCATTATCATTTGTTTCCATGGATTTTTTTCAATTCTTCTTTAATTTCCTGGTTGACCTATTCATTCTTTAGTAGGATGCTCTTTAGTTTGCATGTATTTGGGTTCTTTCCGGCTTTCCTCTTGTGATTGAGTTTTAGCTTCAGAGCGTTGTGGTCTGAAAATATGCAGGGAATGATCCCAATCTTTTGGTACCAGTTGAGACCTGATTTGTGACCCAGGATGTGATCTATTCTGGAGAATGTTCCATGTGCACTAGAGAAGAATGTGTATTCTGTTGCTTTGGGATGGAATGTTCTGAATATATCTGTGATATCCATCTGGTCCAGTGTGTCTTTTAAGGCCTTTATTTCCTTGTTGATCTTTTGCTTGGATGATCTGTCCATTTCAGTGAGTGGGTGTTAAAGTCCCCTACTATTATTGTATTATTATTGTTGTGTTTCTTTGATTTTGTTATTAATTGGTTTGTATAGTTGGCTGCTCCCATGTTAGGAGCATAGATATTTAAAATTGTTAGATCTTCTTGCTGGACAGACCCTTTGAGTATGGTAGAGTGTCCTTCCTCATCTCTTACAATAGTCTTTGGCTTAAAATCTAATTGATCTGATATAAGGATTGTCACCCCAGCTTTCTTTTGATGTCCATTGGTATGGTGAATTGTTTTCCACCCCCTCACTTTAAATCTGGAGGTGTCTTTGGGTCTAAGATCAGTTTCTCGTAGACAGCATATTGATTTTTTTTTTTAATCAGTCTGATACCCTGTGTCTTTTGATTGGGGCATTTAGCCCATTTACATTCAGGGTAACTATTGAGAGATATGAATTTAATGCCAGTGTATTGCCTTTAAGGTGACTGTTACTGTATATTGTCGCTGTTCCTTTCTGGCCTATTACTTTTAGGCTCTCTTTGGCTGGAGGACTCCTTTCAGTATTTCCTGTAGAGCTGGTTTGGTGTTTACAAATTCTTTTAGTTTTTGTTTGTCCTGGAAGCTTTTTATCTCTCCTTCTATTTTCAGTGATAGCCTAGCTGGATATAGTATTCTTGACTGCATGTTTTTCTCAGTTAGTGATCTGAATATATCATGCCAGTCCTTTCTGGCCTGCCAAGTCTCTGTGGATAAGTCTGCTGCCAATCTAATATTTTTATCATTGTATGTTACAGACTTCTTGTCCTGGGCTGCTTTCAGGATTTTCTCTTTGTCGCTAAGACTTGTAAGTTTTACTATTAGATGACAAGGTGTGGACCTATTCTTACTGATTTTGAGGGGGGGGGTTCTCTGTGCCTCCTGGATGTTTGTTCCATTTGCCACATTAGGGAAATTCTGTATAATAATTCGCTCCAGTATACCTTCTGTTCCCCTCTCTCTTTCTTCTTTTGGAATCCCAATTATTCTAATATTGTTTCATCTTACGGTATCATTTATCTCTCAGATTCTCCCCTAATTGTCCAGTAGTTGTTTGTCTCTCTTTTGCTCAGCTTCTTTATTCTCTGTCATTTGGTCTTCTGTATCACTAATTCTCTCTTCTGCCTCATTTATCCTAGCAGTAAGAGCCTCCATTTTTTATTGTACCTCATTAATAGCTTTTTTGACTTCAGCTTGGTTAGAATTTAGTTCTTTTATTTCTCCAGAAAGTGCTTTTATATCTCCAGACAGGATTTCTCTTATATCTTCCATGCATTTTTTTTTTAGCCCAGCTAGCACCTTGAGAATCATCATTCTGAACTCTAGATCTGACATATTACCAACGTCCATATTGATTCGGTCCCTAGCCTTTGGTACTGCCTCTTGTTCTTTTTTTTGTGGTGAGTTTTTCTGCCTTGTCCTTTTACCCAGATAAGAATATATGAATGAGAGAATAAAATACTAAAAGGGTGGCAAAGACCCCTGAAAAATGTGCATTAACCAAATCAGAAGAGACCTCAAATTGTGGGGAGAAGGGCTAAAAAAGAAGTTTAAAAAAAGAATTTAAAAAAGAAAATATATGTATTTGGTGAATAGAACAGAGCCACCGACTTGATTTTGGGAGTATTTTGGAGTATTTTAGAAGAAACTACCTCCTAAAATTTTTAAGAAAGAAAAAAAAAATAGACACACACACACAAATAAGGGTAAACATGGTGAAGGGATGGAATATGACTGTAAAGATGAAAATTTAAAAAAAAATTCTAAAAACGGAGTTGATAAGTTGGTTGGGAAAAGAAAGAAAATGTGGAGAGAATTTGCTCAGGCTGGAGATTAGAACAAACCCTGTGCTAGATTTAGGGTATATTTTGATCTATTAGAAGAAGTTGTATCCCAAAATTTTGTAGAAGAAAAAACCCTTTCAGATAGTGGTCCATTTTCTGTTTCTAGAATTGCTCCTCTTCTCTTCGATCTCCTGTTGGATTTTTAGGTGCTCGGAATGGTTTAATAACGATCTAGCTAATCTCCTGCTACCTGATGTCATCTCAGCCTGCTCTTCCTCCCCCATCTTGACCTACTCATTCTAAGTCTTGAAAGGTGTATTTGGTAGATATAAATTCTACATTGATAGGTCTTTTCTCAACACATGTGAAGTATAATTCCACAGTCTTCAGATGTGAATATAATCCTAGTTTCTTTGGCAGTAATTCTCTTTATCTCAAGTGCCTTTTTGGGGGGAGGGGTCATTGGTTTCATGTGGCTCAAGTGTCTTTTGAAATCCTGTTTTTGGTGTTTTATAGTTTCACATCATATATTTAGATGTGGATTTATTTTTTTATTTATTTGCTTGGGATTTAATGAGCTTCTTAAATTTATGGTTTGGAAAATTCTTATCTATTATCTCTTCCTATATTGCCACTGACCCTTTGTGTCTCCTTCCCTTTTAGAACTCCTATTAGATGTTAGGTTCTCTTACTCAGTCATCTGTGTCTCTTAACATTCTCCATATTTTTCATCTTTTTATGTCTTTGTGCTGCATTCTAGATCCATTTCCCTTTAGTTCTTCTTTAGATATAAGTAAATATTTTCAATCTTCTATTTCTTGAAATATAGTGAATTTCCTTATTCTGTATTTGCCCATTAATTCAGTATGACTCTACTCTCTTATTTCTGCTAGTTCTTATTCTTGGTTTTGTTTTCATGTATGTGTGTTTCCAGTAAGCTGCCCCTTTCTCTTTGAACTTTGTGTTAATTTTTTGAGGGTAAGGGTAGATTCCTGCTGAGGGAATTTTCACTAACTTTTACAACAGACCACTGGGTACTTTCAATATACACCATTCTCAGTTTGTGCATTTTGGAACCCTAGGTATGTCATGTAACTGACTTAAGTATACTAATATATCTGAGACTGGGTTGAGGTTATTAACTGTCCTCAGGAGAAATTGTGGGTTGTTTTGTTGTGTTTTGTTTTGTTTTTGTTTTTTTTGCAGTTTAAGCCGTAGTTTGAGACAGGCAGTTTACCTCACTGTCGGTGGTGGTGGTGGTGCTGGCGGTGTTGGTGATGGTGATTATGGAGTAGTTCTAGTTTACCCTTACATTGAGGGTATAGTCTTTTGGGGATGGTTTTTATTAGACTCTCTACCTTGGGTAGTTTGGGGCCTTCGTAGTTCCTCTCCTAGGAGATTATGAAAATGAATGTGTAAGGTTATTTGGTGGAACGGATACTCCCAAAGTAAAAGCCAGTTTTCATTTTTCAACTTCTGGATCTCCACCTGCCCTGGGATTTAGGCCACATTTACTTGCTTTCATGCAAACTCATAAATGCATTTGTGAATGTATTTTAATATTTCATTATTTGTAGTTCAGAACAAGAAGACCAACAGAGTACTTCATTAGTCATTCTGCTGGAAATGAAAATTTAAAATTACTTTCTTTTAAAGTTCTAATATCTTAATGTTTGGAGTGTTCTGATTACAGTATAGTCTATATACACGACATTTACAAAGTATCATTGTCATTTAGCCATTGAATACCAATAATTTATCTTTCTACCACATGCTGCTGATTCCCAGTGAAGAAGATGGATGGGAGGTGTGGAGCAGTAGTACTTCTAAAAGCAAGAAATAAGTAAATACCCTTCTTTCAGATTCTGTATTGCTTAATGTTCCTTTAAGAGGGCGTATGATGTAGTCCCCTCTGAATTCAGAGTGGAGTACATGACAAGGAAGGCATGGGCTACCTGTATAACCAGGCTAGTTTTGATGTCTGGAACTGTTTGTGCAAAAATCGGTTTTCATTCATTTATCTTCCAGTAGAGGAAGTTATAGCACTTAATTTTGTATGGTTGAATATACCAACCCATTTTGAATTGCAGTCAACGCATGTGATTGGAGAATAATAATTAAAGGATAAATAACTCCAGATACGTAAATCCTCTATCAGTGTTTGGAAATTAGTGTTGGCTTTGTTTTATTTTAATAGTTTAAATAATTGTGATGTTGAAAAAGTGGTAACTTACCTGTGATCAATTATGTATTATTACCAATAAATTATCAAGTTTTCCTTCTTTGGAGGGGCCAAAATTTCAAAAGGAATAAAAGTTATAATAATCCTGTCTGGCAACCTTTTTTGCAAGAGAATTTTGGAAATTATATTTCTAAAACGATATATGTATTTTGAACATAAAGATTTTTAAAATTATTTTTAACTAGGTTCAGAACTTCAGGAAATCTTGTAATTACCCGTGAGATTGACGTGGCAAAAAATCAGTCATCTTGGTTCATCAACAAAAAATCTACAACCCAGAAAGTAGTAGAAGAGCAAGTTGCAGCCTTAAACATTCAAGTGGGCAATCTTTGCCAATTTCTACCTCAGGTATGAGAGAATTAAGTGTACACATGGTAGAATTTGTGTCCTCTTCATGCCATAGCAGAATCTAAATACTTTCCAAAGAATATTATAATAGAGGCTATTTAAAGTAAGCCTCATAACTAATACTTTCTAATAGTTCTTTGTGAAAGGTGGCATTTCGTCTCATCTTATTGAAGTAATTTGGAAGACTCCAATTAATAAAAAGCTGAAAGTCTAAACTACAGAATATGGTAAAGGAAATAAAGTATTGTTTTTAAGTACAGTAACTTGCGTGGCCATGTGGTACAGTTTGTAGGCACTTAAAATGTTGGTAATAAACAACTTCTTAATCATTTTTTATATAAAATATGTGATATACTAAAACTCTTAAATCTATAGATGGGCATTCTAAAACTTTGTTATATTTTAAGTTTTAGTAAAAATACCCTGAAAATGCACATAAAATGTTAAATTTCTTTGAGTGCTGTGTAGTGACTGAATTATAGTTCATTTTTTCAATTCAGAAATGACTTGATTACATATGTCCAAATTTAAATAAAAATTTAAAATTTGAAAGCATTGTTAGCTGATGTCCGATATGTCCAGAAGTAGTTGTTATAAATTTCCTTTTTCTTCTAACATTCCAGTTGATGTGTGGTAGATAATGGTTTCAGTCCAGGGAACTCTTTTTATCCCCAAGCTATTTATTATATGTATATAAACACTTTACCCTAGAAATATTGACCTAGAAAATTTTAAATGGTTCTTAGATGACAATTCATCCCCTTTATCATTTTAAGAAATAATATATGAAGGACAGAGTTTGTATATATTGCACATCTTAACCGTTTTTTTTCTTTTAAACGCATTTCATTTTAACAAGCACGATCACTGAGTGAAATATGTTTTGAAGATATTTATGAATAGTAATAGTTGCAGAGCGCCTGGGTGGCACATTCAGTTACGTGTCTGACTCTTGGTTTCTGCTCAGGTCATGTTGTCAGGGTCGTAAGGTCGAGCCCTATGTTGGACTCTGTGCTGAGTTCAGAGTCTGCTTAAGTTTCTCTGTCCCTCTCCCATTCTAACAAATTAAGTCTTTTTTAAAAGTGATAATAGTTGCTGATACTTAAGTTTTATGCTCTAGGATAAAGTTGGAGAATTTGCCAAACTGAGTAAAATTGAACTCCTTGAAGCTACTGAGAAGTCTATTGGTCCTCCAGAAATGCACAGATACCATTGTGAACTCAAAAACTTCAGGGAGAAAGAAAAACAACTAGAGGTATTTATAAACAGACAACTCATGTTTATTGTCCCTGACTGATTTCCATCTTTCACAGTGTGCTAGGGTGAATAGTAGCTTTGATTCATCAAATGGCTTCATATATTTGTAGGTTTTTTCCACCTAGGATTGTATTGCTGACATACATTAAGTCATAGAAAGTGAGAATTGGAGTTGAAAAAAGTTTGAAAAATTTTGATTACCATTCCATCAAATACATGTTATTAATTGAACTTCTAAGGAACCAATAATGGTATTTTAAAGTATTTATTTCTCTCAGGAAGTTTCGGTATTATTCTTTTACTCATTCAGTATTTCTTACAACACCTGCCATATGCCAGGATGGTACAAGGCTTTGTGTAATATAACAATGAACCTGTAGCTTTTGATGTAGTGTCTCTGTTGAACCTCTTCTCATATTTTTTGAGTTGGAGGAGGGTAGACTTTGTAGAGAGCTCTGTGTTCAGTTGCAGTGTTGTTTTTATGTTCACCTTAAACACATAAATTAAAATATCCTTTTATAGCCTATCATTTGAAGAGGTATTTTGTTTAATGAATCATTTTCCATGTCCCAGCCACTAAAATAAATTCAGTGAATTTTCGTAAGATATCTTATAAACAGATGCTCTCTCTTCAATTGTAACTGTCCATACTTGATAATATGCAAATTATTATAATTTATTATACTTTTTCAGAGTCCGTGACCAAAGGAGTAGTAATTAATTTATGCTTCTTCAGATACTCTGTCCGTCTTTGTACCCTTGCCCCCTGGGAACAGTCTGATACAGTAGTCCCCCATTATTCACACTTGTAGTTCCCTGCCATTTCAATTACCCGTGGTCACCTGTGGTCCAGAAGCAGATGATCTTCCTGACATACGGTCACAAGGTCAGCAGTAGTCTGACGTTATGTCACAGTGCCTCACGTCATGTCCTCACATGGCATTTTATCATCTCGAATCATCACAAGAAGGGTGACAATAGTATGATAATATATTCTGAGAGAGAAGCCACATTCATTAACTTTTATGACTGCTTATTGTTACTCTGTTTTCTTGTTATTAGTCTCTTACTGTGTCTGATATGTAAATTAAGCTGTATCATAGGCATGCATGTACAGGAAAAAGCAGTATATATGGGTTTGGTACTGTCTTCGGTTTCAGGCATCCTCTAGTGGTTTGGCACTCTACTCCCCTCAAATAAGGGGAGGGACTCCTGTACACCATCAGAAACACTCTCTGAAATTAGTACCATACCCTGAAGGAACGTAGCCACTTATCCTGCTAGGTTTTGAGTACATCTTTGCATTTGTTAACTCACAGTCTAAAGGGCAAATTTTAGCTTCCTTCATCTCATTTCTAAGTCCTAAGTCATGGGTATTCATAACATGCTAATTGTAATAATACTAGTGTTCATTTGTATATCACATTATAGCTTTTGTTGACCTTGCACTTAGAGTGTGTTGCTTCTACCCTTGAGGTGAGTGGGGCAGATAGGTGTCTTTTCTTCAGGCAGGAAGAGGCCAGGCTCAGAGATGTGGTGGGGCTTCCCCACAGTCACACAACTAATAAATTGCAGGGCCTAGACCAGAGCTCAGGTATACATGTTAGCTGTACACAGTTCTTAAGAACGCCCGTGAAATTCTTTATTGTGAAATTTTGGTAGCATTGTTCATTTTCATCATTAAAGAATCTGACCTGTTGTCTTTTCAGTTAAACTAATTGTTAAATATTTGTTTTAGACCTCGTGCAAAGAGAAAACTGAATATCTAGAGAAAATGATTCAGAGGAATGAAAGATATAAACAAGATGTGGAGAGGTTCTATGAACGTAAGCGACATTTAGATTTGATTGAGATGCTTGAAGCTAAAAGGCCGTGGGTGGTAAGTCTTAATTATTAGAGGCAAAAATAGTGATGCTTTGACTAGCAGAAAAGCTATAAAGAAGGTACTGATTGCTCTGTATTCAAATTAGGTGCTTTTGTTCATTTTTGCTTTATATATCATAATACATTTGGTATTATTGGTGGTATTATGATATAGGTGTGTACTGTTACTATTATTGTGTAACAAATAACAGTTGATAGTGCTCTTAATTCTTCCAGATTTGAATCCTCAACAGACAGTTTATTTTATAAGATGTTAATTTGAGCTAAAAATGTTTACACAAAAAAATCTTTGAGTGTCCTCAGTCACAGAGAATTTACTTGGTGTGTACCACTTACAAGTTTAGGTGCAGATGCAGCTGCGGGCTATGTACTAGAATTCTCTACTCTGGCTTCCTGAGTTTATTGGGGCTACTGTTCCTTTTAATCACTGTGCAGTGTATAGTTATTATTTATGACCACAGTTTGGGCTAAAGAGTCCATTTCCTCAGTGCATTTCTTTTTGATGGACAGAACAAAATAAGAAAGTTTTATAATGTTAGTTCCAGGGTTAGAATGGAGGTAATTGTTACTAAAATGGAAAAACATGTGGCTGTATTTGTGGCCTTTCTCTGCCACCCCCTCACCCTACCCTGTCCCATAATTCCATTATTCTTAAAATTTTGCTTTACAGCTTATTTTGACTACATTTTCCTATGCCCATTATTACTCTTAATCTACTTTATCTTTCTCCTTTAAAGTCTTTTGGTTTATCTTCTTCTTTCTGAGATTGATTTCAATCTTTTTTCCTTTTTTTAAATTAATTTTAATGTTTGTAATCTTTTCTTCATTCCATTCTTACTGTATGCTCTCTGAGCAGTGCACTTACTTTTGTTTTTTAGCAAACATTAATTCCTGTGACATGACAAGCATTTTTTTTCCCACATTTTTTTCTCCTTTTGATCCATTTTTCCTTTGTTTTTTCATTTTTACTTTTTATAACTGAGTTTCATGTATTTATACATTCTCATATCTCTTCTTTATTGAGAGACTATAGGAAAACCTCATTTTAGTAGCAGTTACTGTATAAGTTTCAGAACCATGGAAGTCGGAGTCCAGTCTAGTGATGGAGATAAATTGAGTGACTATCAAGCTTCTTAATAAGTCATTGTTGGTATTCGCTATTTCTGAAGTTGTTTCAGAGGGTAAATTTTACATGAGTAGACTTGCCAAAAGGATATCAAAACAGTCTTTTCATAGGTTTGGTTTCTGCCTGCACTTTGGTTTTAGTGTATGTGTTAATTTAAGCTAGTAGTGCATTAACTTCTGTTTCTTGAATTAATTGCAAGGAGTATGAAAATGTTCGTCAGGAGTATGAAGAAGTAAAACTAGCTCGAGACCGAGTGAAGGAAGAGGTGAGGAAACTTAAAGAAGGGCAGATCCCTATGACCCGTCGAATTGAAGAGATTGAGAGGCAGCGTCGCGTGTTGGAGGCTCGAATCAAAGAGAAGGTACTTTGCTGGCTCAGTTTAGGATTTCTCTATTTTATTTTATTTTTTAAAGATTTTATTTATTTATTTGACAGACAGAGATCACAAGTAGGCAGAGAGACAGGCAGAGAGAGAGAGAGAGAGGAGGAAGCAGGCTCCCCGCTGAGCAGAGAGTGCGATGCGGGGCTCGATCCTAGGACCCTGGGATCATGACCTGAGCCGAAGGCAGAGGCTTTAACCCACTGAGCCATCCAGGCGCCCCAGGATTTTCTGTATTTTAGCAAGTACAGAAACTACGCTGCAGGTCTTCTAAGTAATTTTGTGAATTTACTTGTAGCTTTCGTTCGTTTTTTAACTCAAGTCTGCAACCACAGGGGCTTTCAGGCTCCTAATTGTCACTTTGGGCAGGTTGCTACTTTAAGATACTCCAGCATACAAAAGAGCAAACTGAAATGTGATTTTTTTTCCCCCCAAAGATTGTATTTGAGAGCGAGCAAGAGAGCGTGTGAATCGGGGGCAGAGGGAGAGGGAGAAGCAGACTCCCTGCTGAGCAGGGAGCCCAATATAGGACTCGAACCCAGGACCCTAAGATCATGACCTGAGCCAGAGGCAGACGCTGAACCAAAGCCACCCAGGCGCCCCAAAATGTGACTATTTTAATAAGAGTATTCAGAGTAGTATTCCTGGAAACATTGAATTTCTTCTATGAATTATCATAGAAAACCTGATGTTCTTAGAATAAATAGTATAATGGCATATGGAATATTCCATTTGTTAAAAATTTTATTTGAAAATTTTAAACTTAAAAATTTTTATGGTCATGGCTTTTAACCTTTAGGGAGATTTTGGAGTCCAAGATTTTGAAGAACGGTTTGAACTATGGACCCTGCTATCCTAATAGAATGTTTTTTTAGAATCAGATGAACTACCACGAGATAATGCATGGGAAGGGATAAGGAAACATGTATGCATATTGCCATGGCTATTTTTAATATCAGTAAATAACATTTTATAGATTTGTAAGTAAGTTAGTATTTTGGGTGGTAACTGAATTTGGTTTGGAAGAAATGTAAAGCCTTGTGGATTAACTTGGTATTTGGGTGGGTAAGGCCTCATAATGGCTTGCTTGAGATTTTAACTACGTTCCCCTCCTTCTGGTTCAATCTTACAGGCAACAGATATTAAGGAGACCTCTCAAAAATGCAAACAAAAGCAAGATATTATAGAAAGGAAAGATAAGCAGGTAAGATTGTATTGAAATTTTTGCTATGGAAATGTGACCTAACTTTTGTGTTCAGGTCTAGATAATGGGACAACTTTTTGTTTGGAAATTGTATAAGGTCCTCCTCATTTTCCTCCTTAATCTGTGAGGGATACTAAGATTTGGAAGTAGAGCAGTTGCACAGAAGATAATGAGGAAAAATTCTCAAGACTACTCCTAGACAGGCACTCTGATCTTTGCAACTGAGTGGCGATAGTTTATTGGAGTGATGGTAAAATTGGATTTAGTTATCTCAGTAGCAGAAATTAAATTTTAAGAGATATATTCTGTTGACATTAAGGGTAGGACATTAAAAAGTTGATAATAAATTCTTTGTGCATGGGTGGGGCTTGATGGCAAAATCATTTTAAGATGGCTGTGGAAGAAAGCAGGCTTCTTAGATAAGAGATTCCCAGCAGTATGTGGGGTTTTGTTCTTCAGAGCCATTCAGAAACTGAAGTTTGAATGACCTTTCTTAGGAATAGACGTATAACTTGAAACATTCCTGGTGGTTGAAGCATTATGTGAATCTTCCAGTTTTCAGCTTCACGCCTTTTTCTGTGCCTTTATCTTCAGATCCCAAGCGCCTCTCATAAACTGTGCAGAGGCTGGGCTGTCAGGGCTAAGTGCTCAGGGTGTCTGGGCGGATGGGGTCTGGGGACAGGGGGTCAGGAGGTGCAGGGCAGGGCAGTCCTGTTCTATATATTGTTTTTTATACTTGACATCTCTGAGTTCTCCACAAGCTCTGGAATAGGTTTTTTTGTTTTGAAAGAGTCCTCCTTTCTTTTCCTTTTCTCTCATCGCCTGTCACATTGTGGCACCTGTAAAAGGATACTAGATTAGTTGTCCCTCTGCTGTCTTTCCTCTTTTGAATGCCATTGAGGTCTCCAGTTGCTGACGTTGTCTCTGTTGTTCCTCATGGGAGTGAGCCCTTTGTACTCCATTGCTAATATTTCTTTAGAGTTTAGGAGGGAAGAGGCATAAAGATTTCACCTTTAAAACCCTAAACAGGAATACAGGTTGATACGTTGTGTAATGTTGAATCATCTTTAGGTTTCTGTCGCAAATTGTACTTGATATTTTACTATGTTGCTGGACTAGAAAATCTTGTTTTTAAGATTTTTTGCACCATGTGAGATGGGCCTAAAATTTGATTTTGTTCCATCCTTAACTGGTTTTTCAGTTATGCTTACTTTTTAAGTAGTTTAATACTCCTTGGACCAGGATTGTCTATTTTTGCCTAGGCATAGTTACCAGGGCTTTTCACTTCCATAAGTTATTTCACTTTTCACTTTTATTAACTTTTAATAAATACATTTCAGGGCGTAAATATTTTTCTGGTTATCACTTGGTTATGTCTCATATGTGTTGATAAGTGCTTTTATTGCTTTTCTGTTTAAAAGTTCATATTTTCAGTTAAACATTTTCATTCATTTAAGGTTGTACTGGAGTTCTTGCTGTTTTAGTTTCTATGGGTATGGAATTTCAAAATGTGAATGTAGAATTCTACTCCTTTTCCTTTCTGTTTAATTATTGTGGACTTTATGACGTTATTTTAGATCTTTTGAAATCTTTTTGGACTTGTATATTTGGTTTTGTACATGTTTTGTATATAATAAATAATGTATACTCTATATATTTATATGTATGTATAAATAAATTATGTATGTGCTAGAACAGATTTACTATATGTACATTATGCAGATATTCTACATACTTTATCACCTACCCAATTTATCCATTTTTAAAGTGAGATACTTTTTCTATGAGTGTAGATTTGTCTATTTTTCCTAATAATTATGTTAGTTTTTGATTCCTAGATTTTAAAGCTGTCTTTTTAATTTATTTCTTGCATCGTATTTTGATTTATCTTATCTGCTGAGAGTAGTATGTACTGGGTTTTGTTCTGCAGTTTTTGTCATCGTGGTGTGATGCCGTCATCAGGAAGGGAGTTTCACCAGGTCCACTTACAGTTGTTTTCACCTCCCTGTACTGCTTGTTCGATTCCTCCTCCCTGCTCCTCTTTCTTCCTTTCTCTTTTTTGTTGCTGTTGATAAAGGTTTTCTTACCCATTTTTCCCCCTAAAGTTGTATATTCTAAGCCTATTCTGTTGACTACTCTTAAAGTTTAAATAACATGTATTTTTTTAAGTTAGCATTTTTATTCTTCCACTTAGTTCAGATACTTTCTCTATTCCGTATCCATACCTTCAGAAATTTTACTTGTCTTTATTTAAAAAATGTTATTTTTTATGGTCTGTCCTGACCTAGATTTAATATGTTTGGCTGGTTTATTTGATCATGTTACTTGTTTTATCATTCTTCTGTCTCTTGGGAGGTAGACTTTTTTTTTCTCGACAGATAATTTCCATGGGTGTTTTAGAGACTTGATGAACTTTCTGAGTACTTGTATGTTGGAAAGTACATTCTTTTGCACTCATTTTGGAATGTTAATATTGCTGAATTTTAAATTATAAATTATAAATTACTTTTTTTCTCAACACTTTGGCTATCCTTCCTCTGTGTCCCGGGAGGTCCCATTTTGTTCCTGAGAAGTAGAAGATACGAGAGCTAGGCAGAGACTGTATTAGACCCTTGAAGAAAAAAAAAAGGAAATTGAATTTGATTCTAAATGCAGTGAGACACAGAGAAGGCTTTCAAAGTTTTTAAGCTGGAGAGAAATAGTATTTCATATGCTTTAAAAGCACTCAGCATTGCCTTATGGATAGTAGATTGAACGGGACAAAAATAAAAGCAGAGAGTTCGGTTACAAGGCTGGCTTCACCTCATATGGTAGCAGTGGACAAGCAAATTTAGAAAACTGAACCACAGAATTTGCTCAGGGAGTAGATTGAAGAATTCAATTGTGGAAGAATAGAGGATCCCATCTTTGACTTCACGGTTGGATAGCGGTACCTGTCACTGTAATGAGAATTGCTAGGACAGGGGAAATGAAGAGTTCTATTTGATTATATCAACTTTCATCCTTTTACTTTAAACCTGTGTCTTCGAATCTAAAATGTGTTTCTTGCGTATCATGGGTTTTCTTTCCTTTTTTTTAAATTGAAGTAACTATTAACATACAATGTTAGTTTCAGGTGTATAGCCTTGATCAGAATTACTGAATTCCGTGTACTACTCGTTGCTAAGTGTAGTCACTGTATTATCTATCATACAGTGTTGTTCCAGTATTGACTTTTCCTTACGTTGTACTTTTCATTTCTATGGTTTATTTTATAAGTGGAAGTTTTGATCTCTTAATCCCCTTATATCACCCATCCCCCCACCCGCCTCCCCTCTGGCAACCACCAGTTTTTTGGACTTAAGAGTCTATGTACACACACACACACACACACACACACACACACACACAGAGAACACATCTTGTTTATCCATTCATTTACGGACAGACACTTAGGTTGCTTTCATATTTTGCCCGTTTTAAATAATACTATAGTAAACATAGGGTGCATATATATTTTGAAACTGGTGTTCCTGTTTTACCCTGTAATGGAATTACTGGATCTTAAAGTATTTCTATTCCTAACAGCAGCTCACAGCGGTTCCCTTTTCTCTACATCCTTGCCAACACCTGTCAGTTGTCTTTTTGATAGTAGCCTTTGTGACTAGTGTAAAGTGATTGCTCATTGTGGTTTTGGTTTACATTTTCCTTACGATGCGTGTTGTTGGGTGTTCTTTTTTTTTTAAGTTTTTATTTATTTGTTTTATTAGAGCAGGGGGAGGGGCAAAGGGAGAGGGAGAGAATCTCCAACAGACTCCCTGCTGAGCACAGAGCCAAATGTGGGCTTCTACCCCACGACCCTGACATCATGGCCTGAGCTGAAATCAAGAGTTGGACCCTAAAGTTAGCCGTTTATGCACCCCCAGCTTCTTTTTAAGTATCTGCTGGGCATCTGTATGTCTCCTTTGGAAAAATATCTATTCAGATTTTCTGGTTATGTTTCAGTCAGGTTGAGGGCTTTTTGTTTTTTTGTTGTTGTTGTTGTTTTGGAGGGGGAGGGTGTTGAGTTGCATAATAACTTTATATATATTGGATATTAACCTCTTACCAAAAGTATCATTTACAGATGTCTTCTCTTATTCACTAGGTTGCTTTTTGTTTGTTGATGGCTTCCTTCACTGTGCAAAAGCTTTTTATTTTGGTGTATCAGTAACTGTATTTGGTACACCTATAGGCACAATAGTTTATTTTTTGCTTTTGTTTTCACTTGCCTGAGGAGACATAGCCATAAATATGTTGCTAAGGGCACTGTCAGAGAGATTACTGCCTATTTTATCTTTATTTTATTTTACCTTATTTTATTTTTCCAGTGTTCCAGAATTCATTGTTTATGCACCATACCCAGTGCTCCATGCAATACGTGCCCTCTTTAATACGCACCACGAGACTCCCCCAACCCCCCCAACCCCCTCCCCTCCAGAACCCTCAGTTTGTTTCTCAGAGTCCACAGTCTCTCATGCTTCATCTCCCCTTCCAATTTCCCCCAACTCACTTGTCCTCTCCACTTCCCAGTGTCCTCCGTGTAAGTGAAACCATATTGATAATTGACTCTCTTTGCTTGACTTATTTCACTCAGCATAATCTCCTGCAGTCCCGTCCATGTTGATACAAAAGTTGGGTATTCATCCTTTCTGATGGAGGCATAATACTCCATTGTATGTATAGGCCAAATCTTCTTTATCTATTTGTCTGTTGAAGGGCATCTTGGTTCTTTCTACAGTTTGGCAGCTGTGGCCATTGCTGCTATGAACATTGGGGTACAGATGGCCCTTCTTTTAACTGCATCTGTATCTTTGGGATAAATACTCAGTAGTGCAATTGCAGAGTCATAGGGTAGCTCTATTTTTAATTTCTTAAGGAATCTCCATGCTGTTTTCCAAAGTGGCTGCACCAACTTGCATTCCCACCAACAGTGTAAGAGGGTTCCCCTTTCTCCACATCCTCTCCAGTACATGTTGTTT